TGTGTGATCTTCCCGGACCAGGGCACGAACCCGCGTCCCCTGCATCGGCAGGCGGACTCTCAACCACTGCGCCACCAGCCTCTCCTACTCTTGATGGGTAAATCTGAGATGGCCAGAATGGTAATTGTGATCTTGGACATTCACAGACCTTATAAACACACCCAAAGTTCTGGGAAACCAGAGAGGTAGGAGGTGAGATGAGGAAAAAGGCACCTTCCACAAGGGCTGGACAGAGTGGGGAGAGGGGACAGTCCCGAGCGCATACGTACACCTCTTGCTTTACTTCCACAATATGCTTAGAGCAAGACTTCCCTGCAAGTGCCCAGGACCCATCCAGAAGCCCAGCAGGGTCAGTGGCCTTGTTACTTGCAAGAGGACTGCAGCTGTGGTTACTTTTCCTCTTCCCACCAGTGCGCTGACCCTCCCTACCAACTGGCCCTGTCACCAGGTTGGCACAGACACACATGCAGGAATCAAGCTGAGTGCCTGTTCTTCCCAGCTGCTACAGAATTAACTAGACCCCATTGGCAGTCAGCAGCGACAGAGGACACTCTTATGCAACTCACCATGCCTTCCAGAAAGAGCCCTGCGGGAAAAGGAGAAAGAAAGCAGTGTGACTTTTCTCTCCTCACCCTTGGTGGCAGATCCCCAAAAGCTTCCTTCCTTGGCATTTTATTCTGCACTAAGTCTCCAACTATGGGTGGTCTTTACCACATTACCACCTATTTTTCCCCTCTGCTTTATAGATTTACTGGTGTTTGCATAAAGCCTGGTATAAGTGATTCATAAAGGACTATTTCTTGCCTTAAATAAACTCACGTTACTGCTTACAGTTGAGAAAGAATATTGGACTCAGAGATTCAGGATTCCCAACCATGTTTTAGGAGCAGAGCTCAGGTACCATCCCAATGTGGCATTTCACTGCCCAAGTTGCTGAGGGCATCGGCTTGGGGAGGTCAGGTTGGGCTCTCTCCTGTCCATCCTGTGATACCCACCCAAGCTGCACCTGCCATTGACCTAGAATAGGTTTTCTCAAAGACGGCAGGAACTGGAACCATACTCATAGCAGTGAAGCAGCAAAGTATTAGGAGCACAAGCATTAGGGTCAGACTACTTAGTTTTAAATCTTACAAAGCCATTTGCTTTCTGTGTGACTTTGGGCAAGCTACCGAACCTCTCTGGGCTCCAGGTCACTTATCCTTAAAATGAGGATAAAATGGTAAACAACTCAATCAGATGTTGTGAGCATTAAATGATTTAATATATAGAAAGATTTTAGCATAATTTCTACTATATACTAAATGCTCAATACATTTTTTTCTCAATACGTTTTTGGTTCTTATTATGTTGGTTTATTCCAACTATACATCTGTCACCTATTAAGCAATGACTTGCGGGTAGTGTACTGGGAAGAATGATGAACTTGGAGTTCAAGCCAGGTAGACCAAGGACAGTTTCCTCCTCCACCTTTGGGGTGTGGGGTTTTAGGAGGTGTAATCATTGCTTCATGTGCCCCTGCTCTTTCCACTTGCTCTTCTTGTTCAAAGGAATACAGAGGAGAGTTAGGGGAGCAGGAGATGATACAAACAAATTTTGCCCGGTTTTGCGTGTGGCCAGGGCTCAAGCCTGCCCAGGGATCTCAGACCCACGCACACCGACCGTCCTACTCTTTCTGCTTGAGAACAAAACTTCTCTTTCCCATGACAAAACTCTTACATGTTCTGATATTCCAATTTCTTAATGTAGATGAAAAAAAAAACAAAAAAAGAAACCCCAAAAATCCACCACCCTAAGGTAGAGAGGGGCTTTCTGGGTCATGGCATGAGACCATATAAATCAGATTCAGAAAAGGAAGAAAAATGTCCTTTTGAAGGTTAACAATTTAAATTCAACCCCATGTTTATGGCATGATGATTTCATGCTGGTTGGCTTTTTTGGGCACACTC